TGTGTTTTTTCCCTCCTGACATGTGTTCGTGCTGTGGGCGGGCCACAACGCTTGAGCCTGTGGTCAAAGCCATGGGCCAATGCAGTTACGGCAGAACGAAGGCACTGAAGCATGAAGGTTCGAGGAGAGGATAGGGGAGACGTGCAGAGACGGGGAGGACTCCTGTGGCGGAGCTGCATGCTGCGTACCTTGCACCGTGCGATGGACGAAGCCATTCGAGAGCTCACACCAGATGAGCGAGGTGATTGCTCGACATAATCAGGTCAGTTGCCAATAAACGCGACAGATGCGCGGGTGAGAGTTGGAGGCCCTAGCGTTGTCCATCGTAACGATCATGTAAAAGAGCACGAGCCAAGAGCCAGACAAAAACGCGTAGTTCCCCTCCCCCCCTCCCCTGATCCTCCTCCTCCCCATCTCCACCTCTACGTCCCCATCATCCGCATCCTCTTCCTTTTCCTCCTCCTCCTCCTCCTCCTCTTCCTCCTCTTCCCCTCCTCTTCCTCCTCTCCCTCCTCCTCCTGCCTCTCATCCTCCTCCCTCCTCCTCCTCGCTCCTCCTCCTGCCTCCCTCCTCCTCATCCTCCTCCTCCTCCTCCTCCTCCTCCTCCTCCCTCCTCCCTCCTCCTCCTCCTCACTCCTCCTCCTCCTCCTCCTCCTCCTCCTCCGCCTCCTCCCCCCTCCTACTCTCCCTCCTCCTTCCTTCCTCCTCCTCCTCCTCCTCCTCCTACCTCCTCCTCCTCTCCTCCTCCTCCTCCCTTTCCTTCCTGCCTCTCCCTCTCCTCCTCCTCCTCCTCCTCCTCCTCCTCCTCCTCCTCCTCCTCTCCCCCTCCCCTTCCCTCCTCCCCCTCCCCCTCCCCCTTCCCCCTCCCCCTCCCCTCCCCCGCCCCCTCGCCCCTCCCCCTCCCCCTCCCCCCCCCCCCCTTCCCCCTCCCCCTCCACATTCCCTCCCTCCTCATGCCTCCTCCTCCTCCTCCTCCCTCGCCTCCTCCTCCTCTCTCCCCTCCTCCTCCTCTCCTCCTCCTCCTCCTCCTCCCCTCTCCTCTTCAACCGCCTCCCCCCCCCCCTTCCCCCTCCCCCTCCCCCTCCCCATCCGCCCCCCCTCCCCCTCCCATCCCCCTCCCTTCCATCCCTGGTCCCTCCCTCCCTCCTCCTCCTCTCCTCCTTTCTCCCTCCTCCTTTCCTCCTGCTCCTCCTCCTCCTCCTCCTCCTCCTCCTGTCCCCCCTCCCCCTCCTCCCCCTCGTCCTCCCCTCTCCTCCCCTCTCCTCTTCCAACTCCTCCCCGTCCTCTTCTCCGCTTCTCCTTCTCCTCTTCTCCTGCCTCTCATCCTCCCCATCTTTCTTCACCTTATCCCTCCTTCCCGCTGTATCTCCCTCCCTCCCACCTCCTCTTCGTCCTCCTCTTCCTCCTCCTCCTTTTCTCCCTTCTCATCTTCCTACTTTCCTCTCCTCCCTTCCTCCCTCCATTTCTTCATCCCTCCCTCCCCCCCTCCTCCCTTTCCCCTCCCCCCTCCTCCTCCTCCTCCTCCTCCTCCTCCTCCTCCTCCTCCTCCTCCTCCTCCATCCCTTCTCCTTACTACTGGCACGCGTGTCAGGGCTCTTGCACAGAAAGGGGAGGGGGCGGAGGGGGCGCGCTGGATGGGGTGATGGAAGGGGCACTCGGGATGGGGGGGCGGTGTCGTGCCGAAATAAAGAGATCGGGGCGGAGGGGGCGCGCTGGCTGGCGGGCGGGATGATGCACAGGGGGCGCTCGGGATGGGGAGGGCGGTGCCGTGCCGAAGTAAACGGGTCACGGCGGAGGGGCGGTGCCGCGCCGAAACAGAGGGGGGGTCTGGGCGGAGGGGGAGCGCTGGCTGGCGGGTGGGGGGCGCGGGGGGGCGCGGGCGGATGGGGCGCGCTGGCTGGTGGGTGGGAGGATGCGGAGGGGCTATAGTAAGGGGTCGGGGCGGGGCGGGGCGGAGGTGGCGGGGCGGAGGTGGCGCTCTAGCTGGTAGGCGTGGGATGCGAAACCAGCGCGCGGGGTGCGGGGGGCGGTGCCGTGCCGAAATAAACGAATCGGGCCGGAGGGAGCGCTCTGGCTGGCTGGTGGGGGGATGCAGAAGGGGGCGCGCGGGATGGGGGGGGCAGTGCCGTGCCGAAATAAAAGGGTCGGGACGGGGTGGGCTCGCTGGCTGGCGCGTGGGGTGATGCAGGGGGGGCGCGCGGGATGGGGGGGGCGATGCCGCGCCGAAATAAAGATGTCGGGCCGGAGGGTGCGCGCTGACTGGTGGGTGGGGTGATGTGGAGGGGGCGCGCGGGATGGGAGGGGAACGGTGCCGTGCCGGAGTGAAAGGGTCGTGGCGGAAGGGGCGGCGCCGTGTCGAAATAAAAGTGTCGGTGCGGAGGGGGTGCACAGTCTGGCGGATGGGGGGGTGCGGAGGGGGCGCGGGCCGGAGGGGGCGCGCTAGCTGGCTGGTGGGAGGGATGCGGAGGGCCTGTAGTAAGGGGGGCAGCGGCTGGCTGGTAGGTGGGGGGCGCGGGAGATGCGCGCGGGGTGGGGGGGGGCGGTGCCGTGCCCAATTAAAAAGGGTCGTCGGGGCGGAGGGGGCGCGCTGGCTGGCGCGTGGGGTGACGCAAGGGGACCGCGCGGGATGGGGGGGCGGCGCCGTGCCGAAATAATTGGGTCGGGGCGGGGGGGGGGGGGGCCCGCCACGGGTTGAGGGAGTGGGGGGGGGGGCGCCGCGCCTGAAAGCGCCCGGTCGGGCAGGGGCGCGCGGGCGGGGCCGGGGGGGCGTGCCGAAATCAAGACATCGTAAGCGAGGGGGGCGCCGCTGGCTGGCGGGCGGGGGGCGGCGGCGCGGGGCCGAGCTTGGATGATATAATCGGGGGGGGGAACGCTGTGCGAAATCAAAACGAAGGCCGGAGGCGGAAGGGCCGCGCCGGCTGCCGGGCGGGGGGGGGCGCGGCGGGGGCGCGCGGGATTGGGGCGCGGTGCCGTGCCTAAATGTGCCGACATGACAGGGTCGGGGCGGGGGGGGCGCGCCGCTGGCGAGCGGGGGGGCGCTGGGGGCGGCGCGCGGTGGGGGGGTGCCAGCCCCGAAATGGAAGAGGGGGCGCGCCAGAAATCAAAAGATCGGAGCGGAAGGGAGCGCGCTCCGGCTGGTGGGCGGGGCGCGCGCGGAGGGAGCGCGGAGGGTTTCGGGGGGGAGCAGTGCCAAGTGAGAGGGTCGGTGCGGAGGGGGCGCGCTAGCTGGCGGGCGATGCCGTCGCGGGTGGGCGGGGGGGGGGGGGGGGGGCGAAATAAAGCGGCCTGGGCGGGGGGGGTGGCGCTCGCCGGCAGGGGGGCGGGGGGGCCGGCGGAGGGGGGGGGGGGGGGGGGAAAGGGAAGAGGAAAAGAGATTTTGGGGGGGGGCACTAACCGCCGAAATAAAAAAAGACGGCCAAGAGGTGGCGCGCCATCTCGCGGGCGGGCGGGGGCGGCGGCGAGGGGCGCGCGGGACGGGGGGGGCGCGCCGCGCCGAAGCCAGAAGGTTGGGGCGGAGGGGGCGCGCGGGCTGGCAGGGGGAGCGCAGAGGGGGCGCGCTGGATGGGGGGGGGCGTGCTGAAATACATTTCTTTGGACGCGGGCTGGCGACTAGCCGCAGCCCCAGGCAAAGACGACGAACGGCGAGGGCCCGAAAGGCCAAAATGGGACGAGGGACGGACCCAGGACACAAGACAGAGCCGACCGAAGGGGCCGACCGAAAAAAAAGGGGACCGAAACCACGAGGGCCACAATCAGCAATGCCAGAGACACCGGCAGCAAGCGAGCAGTGCAACTGTTGGTCCTTTGCGGCAGCCGAGCTGCCAGCGCCAGGCACGAGTGCCCTTCGCACTTTGCTTTGAGCTTCGCCTCTCCTCCCCCATATAACAAAGACATACAAAGACAGGCTGCCGCAAACGCGAGCCAGACGCAACGGGCGTCTGGTTCCGTCGCGGCTCGACGCTCGCGGTTGCAGCGGGGGCCACAAGGGCTCAAAGGGCGCAGGCAGCCACTCTCCAGACCTCTCCTGGGCGCCATGGGAGGACGGGATCAAACAAGAGAGACAAGGAAGCGAAGCTTTGTTGTTCTGCTGTCTCTTTGCAAGCCCGGGCGCGACATCGGCCCCGCGACTCCAGCGAAAGACCCGTGGGGGCCCATCCGGAAGGACAAACTGCTGGGGCGCGCCCAGGAGCCCAAGGGGCCCGGTCTCCGCGGGCCAAAAAAATCCCTGGCGAGGGGTTCGAGCACGGGGGCTACCCCCGCCTCACATTCCGGAAGAGAATGGATTCTCAGCCGCGGGGGTGCCCGCGCGAGGGCCCTCCCCCCCGGCGCAACCAGAGGAGGAAAAGCGCGAGAGCCCAGATTGTAAGTGTAGCGCAGCAGCCCTCAAGTAGTGGTTGCACCAGGGAGTTGTGCTGGGGGTTCTACTGGGAGTTGTACTAGGGAGGTGGACTAGTACTGGGGATTTGTACAGACAGTTGCACTAATGGAATTGCACGAGGGAGTTGTACTAGGGAGATGCACCAGAGAACTGTACTCATATTAGGGGATTGTAGTAGGGAGCTGCACTAAGGAATTGTACTAGTACCGCTTGTTCCAGGGAGTTGTACTAGGAATTGTACTAGGGGGTTGCGCTACGGAGTTGAGCCGGAGAGTTGTACTGGCGCAGTGGAATTGCACTGGGGAGCTGTACTCGAACTCTCAGGGGGTTGCGCTGCGGAGTTCTACTAGCACTGGGAATGTACGCTAGTTGTCATTGGAAACTGCGCTCGGGGTTTGCACTAGTACTAGGTAGCTGTACTAGGATTTGTACTCGGCAGTTGCACTGAGGAGTTGCACTCAAGAGTTGTCCTTGTCGTAATATGGAGTTGTACCGGGGATTGCAGTGGAGGGTTGTGTTGAGGGCTTGTACTACTGATATGATACCAGCTCCACTCTGATATTTGCACGGCAGGACAATGTGCTCACTAAGAGCAACTGCGCGGCCGTGCATGATAATACCAATCGTACTCAAATACTAATTGCACGGTAGTCGGAAAAGGCTCAGGGGCTCCAACGGCAACTCGCGCGCGGAAGCAACAAAGAAATCCATGCGCCGCCAGGGGTCCCGGGTTCAACGGGTCGCCGCGAAGGTTGACCCCCCGCGGAAAGAAGAATAACATATGGCCAGGGGGTGGGGGGTTCAGGCGTGAGTTGCGGGGCTGATGGCGCGACTGTGGCGCGGAAGGCTCAACGATAACAACTGGTACTGTCTCATGGAATGGGGCCCTGGCCAGAGGGGCTCGGTTGGAGAGGTATATCCACGAGACCAGCATCGCACAGGCAGAGCACGCAATCCTGACTATGTCAGGCCCTGGGGGGACAGACCGGGAAATAAGCTTGCAGAACGTAC